AGATCCACAGGGCTCAGTCCTTGCACAAGAGAGTCTCTGGAGCCAGGCACAGTAAGTCTGACATTGGATGTGCTGGACATAAGTGTATGAATATTTTGTCCATGATTTCCAGAATCCTTACAGATATTTGCAATAATACCACAGAAAGAAAGGTGTTAAAACCACACCTAGACATAATCTGACTTGATCATTTTGTTCCCTTGAAAGGTAGCTTGACAAGTTAGTTGCCAAAACTTAGCTCAGGTTTCTGAACCGAAAGGTGCCGTGTCCTGGCAGGCTTAAGGCAGGTAATAGTTTGCTAACGCCAAGAATTTAAGGCTCAAACATGCTGTATAGCAGGAAGCGGCTGAAACCTGCAGATTCCTGAGGACCTGTTTCCTCTCTTAAAATGCAGGAGATAGATCAACACCTCAAACAGGAACTCGATGTAGCCTGTTTACAATTGGATAATCAAAATTTAAGGTCAGAACACCCAGAAACTACGATGTTTGATCTAGGAATGCCAATTTGGCACGTTAAACCTCCCTTTGACTCATAATCCTTCACAAACAGTCATTCTACCTTTTAACCCCTTGTAAGTCATTGACAGAGTAATATCACCATGGCAGAGACAGAAGTGGGACGGGTCACATACCATCTATGCTGTACTGCTTCCTTCCTGCCGCAGCGTGCAGCTGTACGGGCTACTGGGCAGGGCACCGACCTCTCCCTTGAGAAACCAGGTTTCCTTATCCTGCTCCACCGCAGACCTCCCGTGCGAGGCCTTCAGCAAGCAAGCTGCTCGGTGTCTCTCCGTCTGAGTTTCCCACCTGTGAAATGATAATAGTGCTTCTCCTCTCCCCAGGAGCACCTTGAGGATAAATACAGTAAATTCTGAGCTGCTCAGGTTAGGAAGGGGTTTAGATAAGAACCATAATGGACCTAAAGAAACTTAAGCTAGTGGGAGAAAGGGAAACAGTCATGCTGAACTCAGCTTCTAAAAAAAAAAAAATTAAATACTTTCCATTGATGTTTATTGATTTTAGTACATCAGATTTACTTTTTCTTTGTGTCTCAACAAAGACCGACGTGTCATGACCAATTGTACAAAACACAGCTAAGGAAGAAATACAACATGTTCTCTCACTTTCAGGTTTTTCTTTTTGTGAGATTGAAAAGAGCAACATTCTATTTGCATCTCAGTTTGAGAACTGTGATTTGCTGTTATCCACAGATGAGACCCAGGAAGACTTTCTGGACAACTTGGACAGCCTGGCAACTGAGCGTGAAATGCATCGGGACACCAGTGTTCAGAGACTGATTTCACAGTACAGAGATAAAAATGGGACAAACGAGCTATCAGTTTTAAGCTCTCTTAACATTATTCTTTCAAATTCAGATGGGAAAATGCTGAATATCAACATTTTTTAAAGTTACAAAGCAAATGTAAAAATACAATGATTAGAGGAAGCCAATAGGATTCAGCATTGTCATCTGGTTTTGGAAGCTAAAGAGAAAGAAGTCACTGGTCTAGCGATTTTCCAGCACCTTTTCTTTAACTTTCTCTAAAGGGCACAGATCTGTGTCATCACTGGTTCTGTTTCTCTCACCTTCTACAGCTGTGTTTGACAGCTGCGCTTTAAGGCAGCATTTTACAGCAGCGTAACTTTACTCAAGAGTTACAACGAACGTATATGGCCAGAGAAATCATGAGAATCTGAACAGACTGATCAATCCTGTACCTATCAATAACCCCTGCAGGACCTGTGTCACATTGGGTTATTTCCAGGCACTCAGTGAGACAGAAGCAGAGTCAGGACTTCTGGGAAGCACTTGCCGCACGCATTTTCTGAGCAAGTTCTAACAAAGTTTTAGCTTTCTAAAACGTGTGCTTTTATTTCTCTTCAGCAACAAGCAACAAACTGTTGCTTCTCTCTGCACCCTTTGAAGGAAAGTCTCCTTAGAGAGAGCTTATTTACCAGCAGCTACTACACAGTAGTATCTAAAATACCATGAAATATTCTCTGATTCTAAGAGTAGGGACCTTCATGGTATCTTAGATATTCCTGCACTGCAGCTTCACACCAGAGATATTTGATGAAAACACTATTTGGCATCTGTGCTCTCATTCCTTTCACCTAAAATTCATTGAGATAAATTATCTCCCTATGTCCTCCCCTACTCCTTCCATTCTTTGGAGAGGTCTAAGCTTGTGTTCTCCAAGGCTTGGGGGAATTTTTGTACAGGGAAGAGTGAGATTTATTAGAACCAGCTTGCATGTATCACCTATAGTACCTATCACAAGGATTACATGTTATTCCCATATCAGCATTTGCACACAGACATCCGAGCATGCACATACCATTTCTGAGTCACACCTATCTTTTTAGCTCCCTATATAAAGTTATACAAAATTAACTACTGGCTTTTTTTCCTTTTTTTTTTTTTTTTTTTTGAAAGAAGGTAGCTCGTTGTTCTGGTGTGTCCTCCCTTAGATCCTCCTCAAAGTACAGCAAAACTTGCCTGCATACTAACAGAAAATTTCCATTCTTTCACTCCTTTTCAGCTATGAAAGTCGTTCTTCATTACTGTAGTTTTTACCTTTATCTCCTCTCTGCCCTTTGTTTGCCTTTGGTACTTAAGAAGGAAAGTTCAGCCTTTCCTCACTATACAAACAGTTTCCATGCTACGCTAAGCACACTCTGCTATCTGGACTTCTACAAGTAGCTTAAGAGACTTCAATAGCACCCATGAATCATAATCTTTACACCTCAGGTTTGAACTCAGAGATCAGACACAAACACCAACTGAACTTGAACAGCTTTTTAATTGACACCATGTGTGGGATTCATACTCTGTTGGTTTAAAAACGCAAAAAGTTAAGATCTTTCCCCCATCATCCCAGTTGGCTGCAGAGACGGTAGCCGTGGCATGCGTTGTCTGCGGTGTGCAGCGCACATCCAGGTTGGAGAATGCAGGAGAAACCACACCAAAGACCAGCACCCATTTGCAAGGCTGTTGTAGGTGACCTTACTGTTCTCCTCACTAATACTCATGTTGTGTCACATGGCAAATAGCTGTGTGATATTAGCACCAATGTAATTGTGCCTTGTCGAGAAATCTTAGCCTTAATTTTATATGTCTAGCATCAGGTCAGTCAAAATAGCAAGGCAGTTTTTTGATAATTTCCAAAGACAGAATTAATAACCAGACTACTGTTGTAAATATATTAAGTTATTTTAATGCTACTTAGCATAAGTCTTTGTTATATACTTTCATCCATATAGTCCAGTGTAAATGTTTTTTATACAATATTTTTACAAGTATACGGCTCTAGATAAAATGTTCACAAAATAAGTTTCAATGCAAGCAGAGAAGTAGAAAAAAAAAATCAGGCAGAGTACAAAATCTTTGGAAGATAAAAATTTCAGAAAACAAGATATACGAAAACATCCCATTGCAGTAATTCAGGACGACCGAGTGGTTCCAGTAGTCAGAAGGGCTGCCACCCACTGCTGTGTCATCCATAAGAACCTGTCCTGGGTCAGCAGGGACTGCAGGGAACTACTGAAGGTGGCTGGCTCTCAGAGATCCTTGTACCGGACAAGTTTGATAAAGTAACCTTCACAGCAGGCACCCGTGTTGGCTCAAGGAGAATGAGTAGGCCTAGGAATGAAGAAAGTCCTGTCTTCCCTTACCCAACCACTGCTGGTCTCTGCGGAATATTCAGATGCACTGGCAAGATGTGGTGAGCAAGATGTTTTACGAATGACAGGGAGCCTTTATTCTTCCAGGTTATCAATTTGGCACTATTCACAAGAGCAAAAATTATTTACTAGTATTATAAAAAAAAAAGGTTCACCATCTGCAAAATGGCGTGAGTGTTAGGGAGCAGAGCACAACGCTATCATTTAGTTTTGTTAAATTAATTTTCTGTATGTAATATTGCATGTCATTATACAACAGGGATGTCCAAGAGAGGCTAAATTAAACTTCATTCGTGCCAAAAGCAAACTCCATAGTGGGTGGACCGCTTTGCATTCCATTGCTTTCAGTAAGATGTTGCATAGGCATCTGTCCAAATAAAAACACCTTTACAACACTGCATGTTTAGAATGCAACAAATAACACACTGCAAGAATTGAGGTCAGACATTATTCACCATTTGGTTACATTCCATTCAAATGATGTTGACTCACATAATAAGTAACAAACGCAGCACTTGAAGTAACAAAAACAAAGCTGTACTCCAACAAAGACAAACAGTGCAAATATTCCTATTAAACAAAAATATACCATGTATATACACACACAACACAAATGCACTGTTTTGTTTTGCAGTATAAATAGATCTGATTAAGCTAAATTCCTAAAACTTAAGAACTACTGACTGACAGTCCAAAACAATTTCCATCTACTAAGGAACACAGTAAGCTCTAAGGATCAGGTGACCATAGCTGGATATGGCTATAAAAGAGTACCAAAAGATTTAATCGGATGGATATTTAAAATATTTTCTCTGTACATCAAAGTTAATAACATATATAGTAAGTTGGTATCACAAAGTCAGCTTGGGCTCTGATCATGCAAGGAGCAGCAGGCACAAAACCCATGCCTCGACATGGAGCCTCAAGGCTCTGCCTGTGTGGAGCACCCCAAATTGCTGCAAAACATTTAAGGCTTGATCCCAGGACTTAACAATGGGGGAACGTTTTAGCTGCCTATGCAGTTAATATGTTGCTTTAGTTTCCATTTTCTTCCTCTTCTGATTTAGCACTAGAGTTCTGTTATCTGCTGAAGACACATCTGTTTATCCCTGAACTCCATAATACCACACAATGAGTACACAATAAAAGTAAAAATTAGGAAGGAAAGAGATGGAAACTTGTTTTTTGATAAGGAAATCCTGATTAGGGGTTATTTGTATTTCAGCACTTTAAAACAGATTTTAAGAAAAAAAAGTCTTTTTGGAATTAGATTACAGTAAAACAGACAAGTAGCGCTTAATTTGATCTGAAGTGGAACACTCAAGCATTAACCTCTCTTCAACTGCTATAGCCTCCATCTCCTGAATGCCAGGGCTGTGCTGCAACCATAACAAACAGCTGTTGCAAAGGCAAAAATCTAGAAGAAAAGCATGGAAAAAAAGAACAAAAAAGAAAAAAAGTGAATCATATGTTATATTGTTTTACATTTTTTTTTTTATTCTAAATCAATACAGGAACACAAATGATTTAAAAGTTACCTCCCGCAGCCAAAACGCTTAAGGTAAAGTTAGGTTTGGGATCCTCTGAAGTTTTCCCATTAACTCCCCTGTTATAACCCCATGTTATTGCTTTTAACTTACTTCCTTGCTTGAGAAGACATTTTGAAATTGAATATGAAACAGAACGTCTGCCTGCATGAGTTATGGTACCAACCAATCCTGTGCGTACGTACACAGCGTGTTTCAGTTTTCTCTTATCTAGGCTGATTAAACATTAATCTCAGATTTAATTCCAAGTGAATGCCTTTATCAGCAAACTACTAAGACGACATCCCTCTAAACAGCAGAGCTCTTTTGCTTGCAGAAATACAGAAACAGCTTCAAGTCTGGCCTCCTTGACCAGACAACCAGCCACTAGAACAACTTCCTGAGAAACACCAGGAAGTTGCTATTGCTCAAGAACTGAACTGAACAGATTTGAACTGAAGGACATGCCACAGCAAACTTGAACATATAATGTAAACCAGAAGGAAAAAATGAGAAACTGA